CCAACCTTAATTCACCCGTTAGTTGAGCTAGCAGTCAAATAACTATAATGTGAGAATTAACCAATACCTTCTACTGAACATTAATGCAGAAAGCCAGAACTTAAAGAACCATTTCCGATTCTGAATTCATAGTTACAGTGGAAAGGATTGCTTTAGTTGAAATCGAATGGCGGGTGCCATCCTGACAGCTTTAAAACAGAATATCGAAAGTTTCTGAGAGAAAAGAAACTCATTTGTCGAACTCGAAATCGTCCCTTGATATGCTTGAAGTAATTTAGAAAATTTGGAAATGTAATTAATTTTTTTGAGAAAACTAAACTCAAACTTGACAATTAGAATCTTCGGATTCACATGGAGAATGTTTGACATCAGCACAAGACAAACCACCTAAACCAACCAAATGGGATGAAGTATTAGTGGATGAAGTAGATTTCATCGAAGCACTTAAAACTGGACGAATTAGCAAGGATGATTGTCACATAGCATCTATTAATAAAGGTAAGTGACTGCTGCACAATTCATCAGAAGTTTTTAATCTCGACTTTTTAAATGATCAAATTAACAACGGCGAACAAAATAGTACTTTTCATTTCGCAAATCCTTCTAAAATTTAAACGGCTAACCAATATCCTTTCCCAGCTGATTTGTAAAACGGCAAGATAGCAAGACAGTTCGCAATCATTTTCATCTAAATGCTTGAAACAAGCAATTGTAGAAATCCTCGAAGACTCAGGTGATGTTGAAGAAGCAAAAATAAGTTTCCACGACGACATCCTGACCGATGACGAGAAAATGTCGGATGTATCATCTATTGATATCCTCATTTAATGACCGAAATGCGAATTGCAATATCATCCACAAATGCTTGCAATCGCTGAATTAAACCAACCCACGCATATTTCGAACCAATAGCATCTAAAAGAAACACTGTTGCCAATATCTGGAGCAAATCTGCTAAAACAGTCCCAAATATCTCTTGATCTTTATTTTCGTTGGCGACCAAATAATATATTTGGTACTAAGTAGCTCAGAAAGCATTTCGCATTTCCCCAATGATGAACTAGGAAACTACGAATTATATTCAGTAAATTGATTCATTTCCAGACTTCTGTCACTTAAATTAGGGAGCAACAAAATTAGTCATCCAAATTCAAACACGTGTTGTAGTTTAATCAAATCCAATTTATTTTGGAAAAAAAAGTTCCTACAAAGATAAATGAAGTATATGTTTAAAGGTCTGCAGATGGTCAGAAAATCACTGATCCTAATAGTGTAGGATAATTTTACATTAATTAGTCTTCTTGGTATAAAATTAATCATACATTCCAAAGATATAAAATATTATAGTAAGAGCACAAAGTGAAAAAGATCGCAAGGAGAAAAACAAATGCCAATATGATTGCTGATAAATTTGATTACTGGTTTAGAGCACAACAGATTATTAGTATGTTATGTCCTCTATACAAACAATCAAATGACTGTTTTTTGTAAAGCAAAACAGACTAATCTCAAAATGAACATATTCCCGCCACAACCAGAATCTTTGTTGGAAGCAAAATACAGATAAAGAACCTTGAATACTAATCCAAGCAAATTATGTAAACTTCACCATGAAAAAAAGTGGATAAGAAGCACATCGTTTAACACCGCAATACGCACGGCCACTTTAATATGTAGAGGATAAACGTCCCATCACCATGAAAATTTTCAGGAGAAAATCTCGAGAAAAAAGTGAGAAGTATATCCACAGTTTGCCAAAAAATAGAAATTCATCTCACCACTTTTTCCATTACAAGTATAAACAAATTCCATAATCTCCCAACCAAAATCCCCTTAGAAAAATTTTTTTGTAAGAATATTATAGCATATGATAGTACAGAGCTCGCGTTTTTCTACCAAAATGTCCAGTTAAAATTTGGCCTAGGGGAAAATTATTGAAAAATAGTAACAACTGTAAAGCGAATGAACTGAAAGATAGCAAGCATGAAAGTTGAGAAAAATCCAGGCAAATAACCTGAATTATGCAGCAATTCAGCTGAAAGACATTTTCTGATGGTTACGAAAACGATTCCCATATTACATAATAAACAAACAGATGATTAAACTATCCTAAGCTGTGCCAACTTGCTATAATATGTAAAAAGTACTAATAATTTATGCAGACAAAATGGATGCTGCTTTAACTCTTCATTATAGCTATCAAACATTTTCGATCTATTGATTTACTTATGAACTATTTCATTTAAGTCATTTGCAGAACCAAAAACAGTATATGGTGATGTAAGACATGCTTAAGTAGAAACATCACTCGCGTTATACGAAAACTTTCTTTCATATACGACTCATTGGCAACATTGAGTCACATATGAAAAAACAATTTCGAAACACAAATTTTCAAACATATAATGAATCCCTTAATGCCTAGCTACTATACTTACTTCACCTTAATTTCTTGCTACTTCGTCTTAATTTTCGATTCAACTAGCTGTATGATATCCATTACTGTAAAATATCATGAAGGTAATTAACGCCGAAACGGAAATCCCCAGCAACCAAATATTATCCAGCAGCGCTCAACACAACATTTCGAAAAGGTCAGACAGACGAATACAATATGAAGCAAAAGACTGCTAACAAAACATTGGTAATCTTCAGAAATGAAACGAAAGAGCAGCAATCAGATAAACACACGTTGAGCTTTAAACTGGATAAAATAGAGTGTCGACCTCATCACACGATAACATCACACTTGAAAACAAGTCAAATACGGTGAAAACTCTTAAATATGGCTAATGTTCACGAAAAAATAAGAATAACAACAGATAAAGCGAATAACAAACCTAACAATTAAAAAAAGTTATAAGAAAAATAAGACACTTGGTAAATTACTTCTTCCCTCTACCCGGACGGCCAGTACCAATCGTCCTATCAATTTCAAACGATGATTCTCCATTCACTGCTGATTCCGCTCCTTGAACTACATCACTATTCCTCTCAAGTCTCCCAGTTCCATTTTCTGTTAAGAATAAGATAAAAATCTATCAGTGGCTAACTACATAATATTTAAAAGATCAATTAAATCAAGAATCGAGTAGCAATATGAGAATTATTCAGCTAAACAAGTGACAGCGTTAAGTCTATATCCTGAAAAAAATTGGGAAAACTCACAAATTCAAAAAGGTCTTGTAAACTTAAATTTACATCTAATATTCAATTGTTGTCCAAAATTTCAAAGCATCACCTTTACTATATTCGACTGATGCCAAATTTGAGATAAAAGAAACATACCACGATGCATATAACTAAGACGACATTCACTACGATTAACAATCCTGGATCCCTGTTCGAAAGCATGAAGAATGTCAACTTCATCAACCAAAACTCTATTCCAACCGTTTTCATCATGTAAAATATCACCAAACTCTTCGACATCATCTACCACACGCTGAGGAATCCAGGTATCACCTGCGAATTTCAAAATAAAATGCAACTTTCAGTATATGAACTCAGAACACTCTTCAAATGAAGTCAATATATGCAATAAAAGGATATTTGATGCAACACTACTGCGAATAATTTATTCTCACGCTGCAGATTACTGAAATTACTAATGCTTAGATGCTTACGAAATTTGAAAAAAATATAAAGTTCTGAAATGTCAATCAAGACTCTCGTACTGTCAACGACTTCTTCCCAAAACTAACCATTGCTTCGGCACCCCATGATGTGTAAATCATTCCTATTAATACGCCCCCGTTCAACAGCATGAACAAAATCGACTTCATCCACTAATACATTGTTCCATGTATGCTCATCATCGCTTCCTGTAGCTCCATTTGCATCCCCTAGCTCAATATCATCTAAATTTGGTAGTGGATCTGAAAAAGACAATTCGAAACTCATGTTAACAATAACCAAATATCACTGAATACGAAATGTAGATGTCTGTAAACTGTCTGCGAACTTTCATATTTAGGCCTTTTTTAGTTGCATAGAAAGTTCCCATAGTCAAAATTAATGTTTTATATATTGCAAATCTTTTTCTTCAATGAATGGCTATATCCGCCAGATTCCAACTTCTCATAAACGTATGCATGTGATAAACTAATAAAATATGTCATCATCAATAAATAATAAATTTATTTCGAAAGATTCTTTAATTTGAAAAAAAATACCTGCACGATTAACTGCAGAGCCATTTCCGCTACTCTGCCGTCGAGAATGTTCAATAACCAATGGACTAAACCGGGCAGTTTCAATTTCACTCAATTTTCCAGAGTTCACAGCATTCAAGGCATCTACCTCATCGACAATAATGTCACCACGACTTACAGCTTCTGCCATATCGATCAAAGGCATCTTGCACAATTATCTTCTCTTAATCTCTAAAGCAAATCATCTAATATTTTTCAATTTGTGAAAGAAATTGAAGAGCGCATTGGAGGCGTAATGGGTTTTGAAAAGGGAAGACGGTAGAGTGCAAGAGAATGAGGAAATACAAAATAGATGTACCAACTAAAATTATTTAGAACACATTCCATTAATGTGGGGATTTGATTTTATCACACAAGCACGATTCTCATTTTTAGAAAGTTTACGATAGAACATATTAAATGGTGATGGCAGATGCTCTTTCAACATATAAGTGAACAAAAAGGAGCTCAAAAGCATGACAGTTTCATTGAGAGTGAAAAATTCCTGCACTCCCTTCAGTCTTCGAAAATCTCCCTTGACAGAAAAAATCCATCCCCCCGGTCTTCCGACCAACAAGAACCCTTATATTGTGCCACAACAACGCTCAACCATACAAAAACCCAGACGAATGGATAAATTTAACGCGGCCCAACAATGACTTCCCCTGTGTCCACGCCGACGACTCACCCAGATAATAAACGAAACAATTAATCCCCCCTCAAACTTTTAAAACTAGAAGAAAACTCTAACAATATCATATTAAACATGGAATATCTAAAGCCAGACTTTGATCACCTCTTCCCTTCCGAAATATTTCTACGTGAAGTGTAGTTACCTTTCCATCTGTATATACTTCACATTGGAATGGAAATTATTTTTTCGAACTTTTATGAAATCTGACAACTACGTATATGACCCGAAATATTGGATATTTGGCAACCACCAAAGTTACTTCTTAAAGTAGCACTGGAAGTTTGATCGGTGCAGATAGTACAAAATGAAATATGAATTTTACAAAATACAATTAGAAAAAATTGAAAATATAATTAAACGCTTGGATGAAAATTCAAATTAAAAAGCGAATCCAAGGAGTCGTAAAGTAAAAATCAACCGAGAAAAAAACTGGATAAATGGATTTATGACCAGTAAAAGATGTATAACCTCTGGATACAAATATACAATCAAAAACCATTGCACTTTCTAAAAGAACATATATGAATCAATAATATGATGAACTGATAAATGTGATAGATGTTCCGGGAAAATACGGTACGATGCACAGCTGCATCCGGTATGACACCATATCAAGGCTGAATCAAAAGATGAGAAGCAAGCAGTATTCGAAGATGCAAAATCGTTTTAATACATTTCTCACCATGAAACACTGCTTCTACTTTCTTTTTGTTTGTTTGGTATGCACTAATCAATAAACGACAACATTTTACAAATAACGTTATGCAGATAGTAGCTTGGAAAATTAAAAGCAGGGATCGTCTAAGAAGTAATTTTAAATTTCACAAATGGAATTAGATGGTTTAATTAAAAGAATTTAAGCGACACTTGCTTAGCAAGAAAAAACGTTATTAGTTGGTTACTGATACGTAAAAACAATAAATAAATGAAAATTTAAAAAATGAGGTAATTCAGTGCCTTTTGACGGATAGCTTTGAAAGAGTTAAGGCATTCCTTAAAATATGGGATAATGATTACAGAGTTATTGATAATATTCAAGTAAAAGTCATCCACACAGCTACCTAATCGAAAATATTAAATGGTTTATTATGAGATTATCTCATAATTTCTCATAAAAAAATCCCATAATTTTTTATTATGAAATTTTCTGGAAGCTTGTCAAATGACCCACTTGTTTGTTCATTAAGATAGACTGCATGGAAAACTGTGATCTTGGGGAACTTAAGTTTCAGAGGAGAAAGAAAATCACCGATCGTCAGAAGTCTTCCAGGTGAGAGCAGTGGTATGGGTAACAGAAATGCAATGGATGGAATCGATACTCTGGATATTACAGTCTTCAGGAACAACCACAGTCACTTCTATCAGTGTTTTCTTTATACTATTCAATTCCCTGTTAAGCGCGATAAAGATTGATGCGTTGCGTCTACTTCCTATAGAAACAATGCGAACCGCCGCACTACTATGATAGTATTCTGGCCCATCACGATAAAGCATGAAATCCACCCCACAATGAAGGCCAGATCGCACAACCCAACCCTGAAGTCTAAAATACCGATAAGTTGCATAACGTCTCACAAAGCGAATTCCATAACGGTCATAGAATATCTTCCAGACAACATCCGGTACACATTCCTGCCCATTATTAGCAAATATCTGCAAGACCCCGACTTCCGCACTGAGGTACATCGCTTCCTCCGTACCCAAGCGAAGAGAGTTATCCGTTGGCCACAATTTTTTCCAAGTTTTAGCTGATCTGAAATACTCTAACTGTACTTTTTGAACACCAGAATCTCTTTCCACACAAAGTACGAAAAAAAAAAAGACTTTGAAAAAGTCATTTTTACAGCAGGACATTTGAAATAATGGAGAGGGATGATTGTTAACATGAGGAAATCAGGAAAGATTCCGTAGGAATCATTCTAGCTACAGTGTATTTCAAAACGGGGAAATGCCTACAGAGACCTTCAAATGTAGGTCAAAGAAAAAACCAAAATCTTTTTTTTTTCAATTTAAAAGCGAGCAGGGAAAAGTACTTGGAATAACGTGAACGTGGTAAGAGACAACTGCACCGAATCCTTTCATAATGATTTAAGTGGAAATAATGGTTGCTTTTACATCCAAATGTTCTCGAGATGAAGTAAATGTATTACAGCTGTTTCTAAACTAGAACATGAAGAGCGAAAGATACATCTGAATGAGAAATGTTGCACACGAATGAGGAGATAAAAAATTTGAAGACCAAATGTCAGATAACTATCCCTCAAATGTTGGACATTGTATCGCCAATTGCATCTTTCAAAGACCATATGCTGAAAAAAGTGTCTAGATCAAGGAAAAAGGTGTCGTTTTGGCGGACATCCACTAAAATGCTTCCTATGATGTAATGATTTTTTTGTCCTACGTAAAAGAGAACTAAAAGCACAGTTATTGCTTCTATTTTGTGTTAAAGTCGAAAACACACTAACATGAAGTTTGGAAAATAAATCGATTACGGATCTGAAGCATCATTGCGAGCAATAAATAGATGGTCTCAAACTTCTACGGCTGTGCTATAACTTTTATCAGCAACACCCAGTAAGTTTTAAATGAGGTGCCGATTAATGGTATCAACAACTCAATTAGTCATTGTAATAATAAGAATATTAAATAGCTGTTAGAAGTCTATTTTTTGTCAAAAAAAGCTTCAATTCCTGATAAGCAGCTACCAGCAACACAGTGACTATTCTACTGTTAGATATTACAAATACAGTTGCAATTAAGCAAGGTAATTGTTGCAATTAAACGAAGAGCCAAACAACTGCCGTAATTAAACAAGAAGTGATGCTCACTACAAAGATCTTCAGTCACTCAAAGTTCTTCAATCTCAAGAAGCATATAGGTCGACTAAATAACATAAATAGAAAAGCTGGAAGATTCGACGAACTAAATGATAGAATAATCACTTGGAAAATCTAAGAAGCCGCAGTGAAAAGCTAGGAAGAAGGGAAGTGTTGTTATGAAAAGCAATCTGTTCCTGTGAACGTCCATCATTGGAATGAAATAGTGAGGTATGAAATGATGAGAAGTATGAAATGAATTACGCGTCCAGTGTTTAAGAAGAGTAAAATAATCTTATTTTCAGTTGTGTCATTCGTCAATTTGCGAGCAAAATACAGACAATCAACCGCTCGCACAATCACACAGTAAAATGCAAAGTAGAAATAAACTAAAACAACTGCAAATAAATAGAGGATACAGAAGGGAAATGTAAGTTTCTTGAAAAATGAAATTGAAAAGAAATGAAAAAAAAGCGTTGATAAGTAAAATTTTTTAAAATAAAACAGGAACTACTTGTCTAGGTTAAAAAGTAGGGATGTTTCCCTACCTAACTGTGCGAGATTGATAAGACGGTCCCTGTTGGTTTAAATTTAGCAAGATTCCCAATGCCTTGAATAAATTCATCGGCTCAATCTCACGACTGAAGCATGACTAGCAATTCTAGGCCCTTTTCATTTCTTGAGCTTGAGTGAATTAATGATTACAACCTAAGCCTGAGATTAACAAAGACTTAATTACGCACGACTCATTTAATTTAGCCATTTGGCCATATCCATTTCGAATTTCTTAAATGAACAATATGAGATTTCACTTGAGAGAGTGCAAAATAATATCTTTAAAATGATGAATATGAAATAAAGCAGACTAAATCGAACGAAATGAACAAGAAAGAAATTCAGTGAAGTGAGCAGAAAAATGCAACTGTGTACAACAAGACAAGAAGGTTGATGAATGACATCAGAGCACGAATATCCTATCCTTCACACAAGGGTACCTATTTCCTATCCTATAAACTTAGTCTACTTCAAATTAATACTATGCTATTAGACATACGCACAAACAGAATAGTTTTAACAAATGCTCAAAAAGGTGTGGATTCGAAAAAATCTATTTTAAATTCCATTTCTAGTAAGAAATCACAAAATCATCCCAATCAATTTAAATCCTTCGCCGACCACTACACAAAGTGTCAGTTATTGCATTTAAGATTTTGGAAGAATTTATTTCCAATGTAATCTTCATGTGCCACTGCTTTTATGTTACTTATTCTTATATTAAATGAAAGTGATAATAGCTGCAGCATGAAAGTGAACAAACAGTAGCAGAAGTAACTACCTTCACATCGGTCTATCATCTAATGGTTGAATAAAGCATTTTAACGGTAAATCTCAAAGCATCCTTACCAACGTTCCCTGATAATTCAACATCCATTATAGTAACTTCCAGTGATACCAATCATTTTTTGTGTTACAACATAATTACAAGATCAAATGACATGGAATATTTATTACAACATGTGACAACTTATCAGAAAGAGAAACCGCTTCATTCCTTCTGCCAAAGGGTGTTGAAAATGTTCAATTAAATAATTAAGAGCTGATATCTGGTAATAAAGTATTTGAAAGGAATGGTTTTATGGAAGATGGAACATATTCGAACAATGATGCATAAAAATAAAAGCAACGAAATTTGATACATTAGAGAGGAAATTCCTCATTACATTTGAAACTATTTAATGGTCTATATCCCAGTGCCCATACTTGAACAATTATTGCTACAAGCCAATTTGACTTCATACATATGGAGAAATGAGCAAAACATTATCGTCTTTTCATATTGAAAATCAAAGTATCAGTAATAGAATAGATAGCACTAATTTACAACTTAAAAAATATAACCGCAAATCGACAGATATTTTAACAAGGACAAAACTTTTAATTTTAATGAAACGAAAGTATGAAATATTATGAGTAGGTTGTTCTTTTTTTAAATAATTAATAAAAGATGGATCAAGTGGGAAAGCTATTTATAGGTGTTTTAAATAACACGAGAAACGATTATCTCAAATAATGGCTCAAAAGTTTGAGAAATTTTCAAGGCATGAGGAAAGTAACAAAGAAAAAACAGGAGATTTAAAGCAACAAACTTTTCCTGTATCATATTATTAAAAAAGGAAAGATAAGAACTCAGCCTTTTTCTTTGCCAGGCAAATTTGATGAGGCATTGCTGTCACCATCCCCTTCAGATTATTATGATCAGAATCAATGAATGAGATCTTAAAATGACACCTTTCTTGTTGGTGTTCTTGATGAACATTACTCCTGAAACATTCCATTGATACACGGGGCTCACGTCGTTGCAAAAATTCACCATAACATCCGAACGCATTTAAATCATTCGCTGCTTTCAAATCTGATACTATGATCTGTTCACCATCCAATATCCCGTAATACTTACCAATTGGAACAGATATTGGCCTTTTACAATTCTCTGTAGTCCCACGTTTACGTTCAAAAATTAGTAAATCCATATGACTTTCTGAAATCTTCAATTTTTGAGAATTTTTCTGTTTTAAACTATAAGCATAGGACACAAATAAAACTAGATAATAATTTTGCAGAGGTCACATCAAGAATAGTTTTTAAAAAATACCAGAAGACAGTATCCAGTTTATTCGGGTGAGTTGTAATCTGTTATATTAATCTACAACAGACAGTAACAAAAAAATAAAGAAAAAAAGACAATGGAAATTTCAGGTGAGGAAGGAAAAAGAAAATGCTAGAGAATGGATGTCTATTCCATTCCAGTCACACATTCCAGGACATCTCTCTAAACATCAGTACCAAATTGATGTTTTCGCACACTATATTTAGCTTATTACCAGTATAAAAATTGTGTTTTAAAACGTGCACGAAATCGAAAATTTATTTTGAGCAAACAGAACGTCTTTTTACTATCCCTTCCACGTATAAAAATGATAAGTGGTCGGAACAATAGAAGGTTAGAATTAGGGTGAGTGATAAGTAAAAACCGAGTAAAAAGACCAGAGGTTGTACCTTATCTGTTCTTGCAACTATAGCTCTTTAATGCACTAAGCATAGGGCTTAAATTACGAACAGCAAAAGACAAAAGAGAAAATTGCAAGCATTATAGCCCACCGAATCGGTCATCTGTTCACGACTTTCTCTCTGTGAGGTATACAAATGAAAAAATAACATTACAATTTAGCCGCAGTGAGCCACAGTATCTCTGATACGTAATAAAAGTTGGAAAATTCATTTTATCAACAACAGTTTGAAAGACATTAAAAAGTTATCTTTCTGTTGGTCAGACTTAAAATTTTGGAAACGTTGGTGACAAGAAGGATAAATCGGTAATGACAAGGAAAACATGAGAACATATCGACGGCACTGATCAATATACGATATCATTGATCATAAAGGTGAGGACAAGTATTTGGCAGGGAAACCGCCAAAATGCGAGCAGGAAGCATACAAGAAAAGATGAACAAGGAAACAGAAAGAAAAAAGGATGGCATAATACACAGACATAATACAGGACATTATGAGGACAGACGAACACTAACATACAGCAAAAAATTGAAGGTATTCAAACATAGATTTACCGCATGAATCTCATATACGCCAGATACGGTGGTTTCAAGATGTCCCCTTCCTTATGAAAGGATAGTGGATGGATTCATCTGTTGACAATGACCCTTATCAATGTAGCAACAGGAGCCCTCTATCTCAAGGCATCTCATCATTACCTCACATTCCATCTTTTCCACTTTAATCCAGATCTCCATTTAGAACAAATTTCGCATCTTTTCCACTTTAATCCAGATCTCCATTTAGAACAAATTTCGCTCTTTCGCCTTTATCTGTTATATACCACTGTCAATTAAGGTGCAGATAAGACATACCACATCATTTCTCCAATGCACTTATAGTGATCATACGTTCCACCTCGATGGATATAGTAAAATCCAAACAAATCATTTTGGCAAATAATTTGAGAGAATAAAATTAGAAAATTAGCATAGCATGCACGAACGATGGAGTCTTCTTAGACACCCACCTACTCACATTCCCTCATTTAGCCGCGCCATTTGTCAACATGCGATAGATGGAAGACTAAAAATACATGACATGGGATAAATGAATAGACAAACGGACCACGGAGAGTGCCCGAATGTGATATACTGTCGCAGTCTTTTCGTACCTGTCACTCCCTACTATTCTCAGCGCAAACATTTGATATGCATGCTGCCTGACATTCTACGTTGGCTGTCGGCATCACACACAGACACAGACATACACACAGACAACAGACAAACACACACCTGAAACATATATACACGGCAAATATGCTTTGTCACAGAAAGCTAAGACTTTTAAGACAAACTATAACGGAATGTATTTAATAAGTGAAGAAATTCGGCTGCGCAAAGTAGTGATCGTAAGATAGCACTCAACTCAATTCTATTCAAAATTCCACAAATTCAACAATATGCATAAATTCTACAATAAAACGCCATCCCTATTAACAGTACGGAAGTCTGTCTCATAAACAACTGAAAATACAACAATGTGACGTTCCTTTTCCAATACAATAGAATTTTAAGTTTTCAGTGAAATCCTTAAACAGTAAACACAAACAGAAGTACAGTTCTCAAAGAGAACTGATGAAGAGCGAAATACTATTACGTGATAACAAAAATATGGTAAACAGAAATTCTCGTCAAGCAATACATACTGCAGCGCAATCAGCAGACAAAAATCACATCATTAATTTCTACTAGGGCAAAAGTATGTTGACACGGTTTAAATAACACAGATCAAGTCACTAATTACTATCAGAGAGGCCTAACTAAGTGGATCAAACTTAACAAAATATACATCTTAAACTGAACCTTTCAGAAATGACATTAAGTAAAAAAAACGAAGAGGAAAGTTTCTCTGGAGCAAGGAATGTCACGTATTTTTTAATGCATCCTCGTCATGCATTTTTTTTGTACAATTATAAGTAGAACATCTGAATGACAAACTATTTGCAATGGCCTTCCGCAGAACAGTGAATTGCAAATACCAGACAAATTATTTGCAATAACTTTCCACAAAACAAGGAACTGCAAATACGCAAAATTAGACTAAGATAAAAAAAAAGCTACAATGTTTGGGAGAGTGTGCAGTCAAATTGTTAGCGAAGACAGTGTCAAATTGGTGGAACCGATAACCCATGGATATATATGTTTAATGAAATTTTAGATAAGAGTTAAAAGTGCTGACACTTGAATTAAGCGCTGCACATTACTTCGGTTTTTTTTTTTGGTTTCTGGGGTTTACTTGAAACGAATAAAAAATCGATCAGTGAGCAAAGTTACACTTTTGCACATGTTATATTGAGTACTCTAACATCAATTTGAAAAAATTCATAATAAATGAAGATCGTAATAAATGGAAAATGTTTCCGGTAAACCTTCTTTGATTTTAAATTAATCATCGCCTCCATACACAGATGTTGCTGGTGTATACGTTGGCGTACCCTTCCCTCGTCCACGACCTCGGCTCCGTCCACGAAGAGCGAGACTACGAACAGTTGACATATCGTCATTACGCTCCTAAAAACTGTTTTCTTTTGATAAGACATCATCCACCTTTCCTTGAAAATCCATAGGTTTATGTAAAGTCAAGGTAATATCATTATTTAGAGATAGCATAAAATGAACACATGAGTTGTCTATTTTACGAACTGCTCGCTTGGTATACTCTCCAACTATATAGATGAATGCTTCAATTCGCGCATATTCAAATTTACTGAAACTGATAGAAGGAATTCCTAAGTATTTACTACTCTCATCAATCGCATCATCCCTTTAGACATTACGATAAAAATAAATATAGATAATACAAAATATTAAAATTTGACCTGTAAAGAGGCTTTGTAAATCATATAGGGTTCTTCCTTAGCAAATACTTCACCATGTTTTTCCAAATATCGAAGACTGAAGACAGGTAAAAGTTAAAATAAAAACTCAGAAACTAAAGCTTCTTTCCCTAATTAATCTAAGGAGGATTCTACCTTTTAGTATTTCATCTAGTGAATACATAGTAGAATCTAGATCTAGACGTTCTAGGTTCTAGATGGGAAACTTTCCAATGTCCTGTCATATATAACAAAATATAACAAATGCTACTTAGTTCTTGAATTCTTTCTTTAGCGAACATTTCTTTTTTTTTGCATTACACTTTTCATGTATGACAGTTACCAGGACTTACACGGAAATTTTATCTTGTCGTAGCAATTTGCCACTGAATTCGCACAAAATTTCGAGAAAGCTTAGATTTGTGTGCTGAATATCTTGACTTATACTCTCCTCGTTTCTTAGTGCAAACACTATACCATCTCTGAAAATTCAATCGCTAAACTCATTAAACTTAAACCATTGACTTGGTATTGCTAGCAAATCTAATGGTCAAGTATAGCGTAAATATCTCACTTATGAATAATGGCTAAAGCTTCACGGCTTTTAACTGGATCGGAACCAAAGAGATTGGAAAAACGTTTTGCCAGATCACGAATTGAAGCAAAATCATCCGAATTTGGATCGATACAATTCCCTTCGGAAGCACGCTAAAACGGAAGAGTTAGAACAAGACATAAAAGCCATTATATCATCTGGAGGTTAAAAAAGGAACTTTTGCTACAAAATGTTTACAGCTAATGACTTAACAATGTACAACAATGTAAAATGGAATAACAAACAAGTAAAACTATTTAAATCAAAAGAAAAACTATACCTTGATTTCCTCGTAATGATGACAAAGCGCCGTTGCTACCGCTCTTGCACAACTCAGTCGGTCCATATCGCGGCATTTTGTAAGCAAAGTTTTTAAAATATCACCAAAGTCGGTGTAGAACTGTAAGAAAGCATAAATTTGAGCGTACAGTAAATAAATAAAACAATTCAGATTGGAGATTCAATAAACAAATACCTTCGTATAGAACTGTAATACTATGCAAGCTTCATAAATTGGGAGGATACCATGCAATATCAGTTTACAAAATTGAACTAATATTTTTCGCCGCTTGTGCATCAATTCCACTTGCGTCTGTTGATCCAAAGACCGTTCTGCATCAATATTATCATTAGCAAATGCGACAAAAGGCATCAAAATGAATCTTTTAAATCACATCTTCAATTTTCCAGTACGGAAATTTGAATGATAGTTAAATGAATTCCTCTGCACATTTATTTTACTGTGTAAGTGGACACTTCAAGGGAAAGACATTGACATTTTTTACAACCAAGTTCTCTCCTTATGTCTTCAATTTTTCAATATAAATATTTGAACGATAGTTATATGTGTTCCTTTGTACACTTATTATACTGTGTGACTGTTAGCTATGATCAAAAATGTTTTACCTGCATCGTTTTCCTCCACAAAAACGTTATCCTCCACAAACATTGAAAGTGCTCGCGTAATATCCTTGTTCAATTCAATTGACAAACTTTTATCGGACAAACCATTGAACATCATTAAAGCATCCACAAAGCACAAAAACGCCTTCAATTTATGAGCGTCAATGGTTAGCATTATTTATTGGATAAGCAAACAAAAAGAATAAAATTACTGACATTTTCAACACCCGATGCACCACTCATCATTATTGATGTAACCAATGCAGTAAACTGATCCCTATGTTTCCGCAATTTCTTCACTGCTTCCTGAAAATAAAGCACTGGCATAAAGAATCGGCTGCTTCCTCAGCACGCCTATGTGAGGATAAACAAACAGTTAAAAATCCAGCGTATTCAATAAAATCTGATGCAAGGCTGAATCAAATTAAGAGGTAATTACACAAGTTATGGTTCCGCAGCGCATTTATTACTCAACTATCACAATAATCAAAACCAATTAAAAACTTGAAATGAGCAAAGTTTGAAGTCTGAAATCTGAAACAATAACCAACCGCTTTATTTGGTTCCTGTTCAGTAACCAAACGATTTATATCCCAGCTTAGGGTGGCAAACAGTAGAACAACGGCTTTCTCGCCAACATCACGTGAGACTTGTTTATCTTCGGCATTTGTCAGCACACTGAGTGCAACATCCCATAGCTGCCACTTTTTCAAATCTTCAAACCTAGAATAGAATAAATTCTCTCACTGATTTCCTTCCCTCTTTATACAGGCAAAAGAAAAAAAAATAAAAATAAAGAAAAGAAAAAACTGCATGACTAAACCTAAGAAACATACATTGCAAAAGCTGCAATTTTCCGAAAAGCTGCAAGCATGATGGCATCGTCTTCTTCATCCACTGTTTGTTCTCGATGAAAATGCTGTATAGAATGCCGCAACTGTAAAGCCAAACCATCCAACATTTTCAGATGGTGCGTTTCTGTATGTTGTGCTACCTACAAAACTGAAAAATTAAAACTAACGGGACCACTATCCTTGACCTGAACTAACTCTAATGAAATTCGACAAAGGAATACAGCAAGGATACAAAACACTTTGAAAATGACTTAAGACTCAAAGCAGTTATGAGTTACTGTCTTCAGCAAAATGGTAAACACTATAAACATATTCTAAAAATTTCAAAATGTAACGGAAAGCGACAGAAACCAGTTATAACCAGCTATCATTCATGATTGGGATGCGTCAGAGACCGAAATATTCAAGCAGTGACAGCCGAAATATTCAAATACTGGCTCATCTCAATCAATGTGGAAAGCCAAGGCAAAATATGTGAGAAAAAATGTTTACAAAAAAAGACTCACAGCAACATTGGTTGTGAAGTAAGACATTACTTCTGCAACGCACTGAAGAATCTCATCATCCGCGTGCTTTTCAACAATGCTTTCCAAAATACTCATCAACTCATCCAGATGCTAAAAGGAAAAGAAACTGAAACAGTAGTTTTGCATTTTGAAGAAAACAATTCAATAACATGAAAAAAAGTAATAGAACGCAAAATTTGCCTTTTCCAGTCTACTAGCCATGTACATATCAAGTTGAAAATGGAGCGGTACAGTGATTAGATTTGCCACTTTATCTCGATCAGCTATAAACTGAAAAGATGTTTGATAAAAGTATATTACAAGTAAAATCAAATAGCTGATATCGAAACTTAGCAGGACATGTCATAGATATCAGTCATAGACGCTCAGTAATGAATCAAGAGGAAGATGTCTACAAATATACTGGTCAGCAAGATTCGTGATACATCATGTATATATTATATATGTATATATGTATATATATATATATACATATATATATATATGTATATATATATGTGTATATATATATGTATACATATATATGTATATATACAAATACCTACACGCTGGAGAAGTTGTGGCAACTGTGGAATCAGCACTTCTGAAAGTCGAGCTTTGTCCTCCTGCAACAACCGAACATCTTTATTGACAATCGATCCCTTTCTGGACATGTGAGCTCGCCCAATTGGACTTTCACCAGAAGCTGCTTGTTTTACAGAACACACCAATACTTCAATTAGTTCACTTTCGAAACCTTCGGCTAAAATGATGCAACACTGAAGCAAAAAACCACTTCACTCTTCATTTTTCAAAAATATATAAGCTTTGCTTAGAACTCACGAGAAACTGTATAAAACGCTAGCCATCAGGACTTCTCTAATTCTAGCAAAGCTTCGATTCCTCCTTTCTCTTCTTCACAAAGAAACATTGCCCTGAACAACTGAGATTCATCATTTTGTGGTCGAAAAAGAAAATTATTACCAACCCTCGCCAGAAAGTAACAAATCTGCCATTGTTTTCCAGTCCTTTATCATTGGATTAGTGTCAATGAGAGCATCAACAAGGTAAGCCGCATGATCATGGCACTACAATGGACAAGATAGAGCAAGAAAAAATTCTAAACATACAACTTAAAAAAGAAAACGCAAAGCATTAAGATACACACATCGCCTTCCACAAAGAACTGAACCAAATCAATAATTAACTGCTTTGCGTTGTCGTTAGCACGGTTTTTTTCTGGTCCAAACGCTTGCAAATTTTGAAATACCTGGAAATTATCGTAAATGTATTACATATTCATGCATGTGTAGACAGAAGAGACTGATTGGATCATTTTGTGATATTGAACTTCTTGTCTTTAACCTTTAATTTATGAAAATCGTGGATACTGTACATGAAAATTAAAAAAAAAAACTATTTAGCAAACAGCACATTAGGCTTTTCTAACTTACTTTTGTATTTAAAAACTCCCCAGCAGCCTGAGCCAGACTACGATGATTACAGTATACCATCTCATAAATGGGTACACAGTCTTTTAATGTCAAAGCCGCTGGATAGATACGATAAATTTCTGTCAGCAACTGACATGCACGTACTGCAACATCGCTATCCTTATCCATGACCATAGTAACAAGCCGATCCTTGAACTTGTTCGTAAACAATTCCAACTTTTGAGACATATGCGGTTGGTTGTACAGCGGAAGAAGTGCCAAAATGCATTTCAAACGCACATCGCTCACCTGGATAGGAAAAGCAAAAGAGTTAAGAACGCATATCATAATATATCACTTTAAAATTCTAACCTTATCATATAAAGACCAGCCGATATATTTGAGATATGAATCTTCAAGAAAATGATCTGGGTAGATCGACATCCACTGACCAAGTTCATTTATGCAGATACTTCGGATATCTGGTACAACATCACTAAAACACGTTCGCTAACTTGCAAGAAAACAAGGAAATCTAATCTCTTCATTTAAAGGAAGAAACAGATGTAAAACCAACACTTTATTCCAAAATTTTAACAAATAAAAAAACAATATTCCAAGAAGTAAAGTAATCCAAGTCTGAGGGCAGTTTAAAATTATTACCAAGTGAATTGTAAATCAAAATTGAGCAAATAAATTTAAGCAAATACTAAGCAAATAAATTTCAGTACCGATAGCGGTGTACAAAGACACTTTTGAAAATATAGGTTAGCATCTGCCTGATATCCTCAGTTTTATCATCGATCTGTAAAAACAAAGAAAATTGGTTCCCACTCTACTTTACTAATAATAGCCACAACCATCTCGGTCATAAAATAAAATAAGAGAACTGTTGCATTGAGTGAATGGCCACGGATGAAAATCATCTTTGAAGAAAGGTAAGTATTCAATTTAAATAAAATCTACAACTGGATAAAAGTCCCGTACTTCTAGAAAAGTTTTGAAAACTAATAAGAAACTAACTTCGGCCTTTTTATTGATTAATACATCAAGACGGCTATTAGGTCCTTCGGCTTTAACTTCGCCTTTTCAGTTTCAACCTACAAAATGAAACAAATAAGGAGAGTAACAGTAAATAAAGAAATTAAAAATTATTCAACGATGACCTGTCTTATATTCTTCGCTTTAAGATCGACCAATTCCAGTGCAACATCTACAAGCGCAGATGATAATTTCATGGCTGAAATATCATACTCAGTTAAGTATGGAGATTATATATCTCACATTTCAAACTTTTAACTAACATACAACAAATATTTTGTTAACATCAAAATCGCTCAAAATTTCGAAAGATATGGCCGCGACCATTCAAGCATGCCGAAGTCGCGGTAAGACAAAACAAAAAGACTTCTGTTAACAAATCTACAAACAATATTTCATCTCCTTTAGAGAAAAACTACCATTTTCCAGAAGGAGGAAGAGAAAGCTCAAATTAGATATTTTTTGAAAGAAACTAATCTGATGCAAACCTATGAATGTAGACGTATGTCGAAATGCTCGCACCTGGCTGTCAGCCAGACCAGTAAGTAGCTGGATAACCCCATCCATCAAACGTTGATCAAATACATAACTTGATTTGCATTTATTGACCAAAAGCTATAAAATCAAATACAATTAACAAGTCTTTAGGGAATATTTCATCTCTTTAGTGAGAAACTAACTATTTTCCTGCTAAGTAAAACTTAAGTATTTCCTGGAAAAAGCAATTTTAATGCAAATTCATGGATGCAGAATATGCCGAACATCTGTTTACTAGCTGAATTTGTGAGCAGTAAAACAGCATGGTTTTTATACAGCACCAAAATCAGAAATAAAAAGCTTCAATAAACGTTTGAAAGATGTTTAAATGAAAAAGTCACCAAAATAAAATCAGCAAGCGTTTGTTTGAATCTCTTCCACAAGGGGCCTGGCATCACCAAGGGGTAGTCTCCAGTATCTTCGTCAAACTGATCGGTCATCTGGCGAATTATTTCACTGCAATTAAAACCGGCTGACTTTAGAAATATAAACAATTCATAGAATTAATGATTTATATCAAGCCTGAACAGTGACTTTACCTTATTGAAAGATGCAAACTTTGATGCATAAAAAGTGCACACTAAGGAAGAATTTTAATCATGCAAAATCACCTATATTCCATAGTTTGTAGCATAACGGATGAAATAATTCCCTTGCATCCACAACATGAGATGAAGAATTGTTGTAATTGTACAAGAGCATTATCCGGATGCCTTTCATATTCCTCGATCCAGTTATCAATTACTGTCTGAAATTTGCTTTCCAAAAGGATATATTAATTACGCCATTGATCAGTTAAAAACTTTGATCTTGATGAAAATTACACTATTTCACTACATTCAAAAGCTTTTATATTCATATGCAAAAAGACCCCTTCATTTTTTGGTAATCTAACGTCAATGAAAATAATTATTACATGCAAATTCTTGCCACTTCTAACCATACTAAGCAGACTGCTTTCATCGGCATCTTCCTGAGAATATGTGCCGCTTGCGCGACGGCCAACACCTCGAGTTCGTGTACTGCCCCTGGGACGTCCTCTTCTACCCTTAATGTGCTAATCAATGTGTTAATTCAAATATCAGTTAATTAAGGACTAGTATTTGTTTAAACGTAGGTCCAGCATGAAGATAACTGAAATGCAAGTAATGAAAGAAAAAAAAAGCCTGACAGTGGCTGGTGATTCAACCGGTACAGCTACACCTTCCTCATATGATCGACGTTTTCGACCACGTGTGCTCAGCGCTGGTGTTCGAAACAACGAGTCTGCTGATGATTCCAAATGAAATTCGGAATGCTGCTGCTCATCTTCTCTAAAACACTAGCTCGGTAAAAGAAATTCTAACAAGCCATTAATTCTGGGATTATTAGCTGGGAGAACCTATCCCTTTAACATAAATGAATATATGTTTGAAATTCGAATATTTTACAAAGAAATACACGTTTTCCTGCAACACATTGGCTCCATTTAGAATAAAACCATTGGATGAAAATTTGAAGATTATATATAATACAGTAATCTTTGGAACATGTTGAAGTGTTGCATACAACGATATTTCAACCCTTAAATATGACATAACTTTACGAAAGAAAAAATGACTTACGAGGAGACGTGAGATAAGTTCATCGAACTAGAGGTGCTATCCACATGTCCCGAAATAGATGAGTCCACGTAATGCCTTGTGATGCCACGAGTAGTCATACGGTAAGCTGTCTGTTCCTCTTCTTCCATCTTTGCTGAAATACTCACCATAACTTCACCTACAGTTAGGAACAACAGTCGTGATATCATAACTCGCAAAATAACTCACACCTTTAACTGCCTACCAGAGGGGCTACCGTCGATATTCGCAACAGACAACATCTCTAGCTTAATACTCTATGCGATTCCCTCTTCTCTCTGTCGTATCTCTCCCATTTGCGAAGTATTTTTTTCACCATATGGCATTGAAAGGAGGTTGGAAACAGATCGAATGATAGTTGACCTTTAAAAAATAGGGATAGAAGGCGACGAAGAAATTCATAAACATATTAAAGCATAGGAAACAGAAACAACACACTGTGCCAGAAACACTGATACGAGGATTATAGTATGTACATCTGATATTAGCGCTTGGAAAAGCGGTAGTACAACTCGGTGCTTTTCTTCCTTCACCTCCAGAAGAATCTTGCGTGATGCCATGATGAGTTTGACACTCCTTCCCAAAGGTGAATACGAATTAATGAAGATTTCTCACTTCTCATTCTTATAGTTTGCATTTTAAAAAATGGAAATTTAAGGGCATGACCACCGCTGAGAACATAATACTAAGATTGTTGGAATTGCTTGAAATAATATTACCGAAGGTAAAATCAGGCCTCAGATGCAGTCAAGTCCGACTTATCCTGCCTTTATTAACTCATCCGTTATCTTCATTATTTCTACTGTTACGATTGCTAGGTAAATGTTCCCTCTTGTCTTGTGAATACCACTGTGAATACTATGTGTTCTAATTAACGACTCTTATTGTCCTATTATAGGTACGATGTATTCATCTTCTCCAAGCAATACACTATGTCAAACAGGTTTGTCAACACTGACAAGAGAATTAAAGTGAGGGTTGTCATTTGCCTTATGAATTGAAAATTTTCTGTATTCTGGAAACCAAAATGGTGTCAAACTGCATCATGCTGAAATCTGCATATGAGCAGTTAACCAGGTTATAAAATGCGCTCCTCAGTCGAAATGTTTTCTTCTTTTTTCACTTCAGCATGATGTAAGCAGTCTTATCATTATTATTCTGCCCTTTCGTCCATACTTATGTCCTGTACTTTTTTAATCAAGGCCTTACTGCATTTAGGGAAAATCGAAAAAGGAAAAAACCAGCAATAAGCTCACTGAATGATATTCAGCCGGAACTGCTCAAAGTACTGTATAATTTGCCACCGGATTTTGAAATCCATGTGAGGAACGCCGAGGAAAAAAGTGGCGTCAAAAGAGAACATGTATGCTTCCTGAAAATTTATATAGGTTTCAATATAATTTCGATATATTTTGTTCAAGAAAAATTTCAGAAAGTACTATCTTCGCACATTATAGGATAGTAAATATGCAATATCAACTGGACACATATGTTCATTTTACGCATTACTATATTTATTAATTGATTTTATTCAGTTTGTTTATGGCTTGTCGGGTTTTTTGGTTCTCTATATGATTATTGGTAGTGAAGCTGGTCTCTTCTGCAATATCATTTGTTTTACTTACCCAGCCATTGTTAGCATTCAGGTATATATTTCCATCTCCATATTTTCCATATCCTCTTGCCTTGGGGAGGACACTTGCATGCCCTAATGAGGTTTCGAGCTTAGGGTCTTCCATATCATAAGATCTCAAGTGAAGGATTAAACAAAGTATATCCATGGATAAAATGTGCTTGCTAGCCTCCCGGCAACAACCATCTTGGAAGAAGGGCAACTCTAACTCCAAACTCAAGCAGGTGGAGCCTGTCAGGCCAACCACCTAAGAGAAGGATACTCTGACAACGTTCCGAAGACTTCATCATCATCGTTCTAGTTCGCTAGGCCTGGCAGGGGATAGAATCTCCTTAAGGCAAACAGGCCATATATAGCTGACAATAATAAGCAAATTGCAGCAGGAATATTCTCCAGTGACAATCCAACAATATGTGAAGGTGACGTCTATAGTTCTATTTTCGAGCATATTAAGTTCAGGTCAAATGAAGTGCATGATGAATCTTTGTTCATAGACCAATTGGCTATGCAATTTAAGCCTTATCTGGGACAGTATGATTGTAATCTTTT